TCATTCTTGCGCTGTACCTTGCTCTTGCGTACCTCACCCACGCGACGCAGGGGTTCTACGTATACAACTTTCTGGATTATCAAGATGTGGGCGGACGAGGCATTGTTGCAGGATACATTCTCGGTATAGCGGTCGGAATTGTCATCATCTTTTGCATTGTCTGGGGCGTCATCTGGGTTCGACGATGGTTGACGGAGACGAAGCTTGGTATGGATGGTAAGTTTGCACAGCAGCCTGCCGACACCAACGACATTGAGCTGGCTTCTTCTGGTAACAAGTACGCTATTGGAAACCATCCCGAAGCACAGGATAGGATGTATTGAGCTTGTCTGTCATAATTTTTTGGGAACGTGGAGTGTTGGACAGCCATGGAAGGCGTAATGTGTAGGCATTTCTTAATCAAACAAAGCGACCTTCAAGGATACCCTTAGCGGAACGTGCGATATCACAAAGCAGTGTTAATTAGTAATAGTTAATGACAATAATGAAACCCTCACAAGATACGCAACTCACGAAGCAAATTGTGCCTGAGCTAGTCTGACCTAAACAGTATTTTGACCCTCATGCTTTCTTGCTCATAACCATCCAAATGATTCACTATCTTTGAGCCTCATGCTAGTAATAGTATCACAGTATATGTACAACGCCCATGCATCCGTCACGCCGTTACCTCTAAAAACGTCCGCCTAACACTTAACCAAAATTCCACGTCGCTTCTCTGACTCACGAATCTCAAACATGACCTGGATGCCAACGAACAGACAAGAGCACGCTGTAACAAGGAAAATAAGCCCTGTTTGTGTTTGTGTCAGTGATGTGCTTCCACAGAGTCTCGATGTGCCACATACCTGACCAGTCATGCAAGATGCTCTGGATGATGCTCTGCAAACCGTCTAGCCCAACAGCAAAGCCAACTAAGTTGGCTGAAATCATCATTAGCACGTTACCCACGCTGCCTACACAACAGAGCATGCGATATGCTGTTGGTCGGTCCTCCCACTTGCTCTTGGGGAACATTGCCGCCGCAGTCCACTCAGGTATCATGAACAGAACAATCAGCCAACCCCAGATCAGTAGGCGGAGCTGAATATCGTGCCAGAGTGCCACGAACGTGAATACAAGCAGGAATGTCACAATGGATCGCACAGTGGACCGCCAGTTACGGAACGATGAGCCACCCAAGGGAACGTAGATGTACCTGATCAACCAGCGGTTATACGAACGGTGCCATGCTCTCCAGAAGAGCTGCGTGCTGTAGTTGTTGCTCACACAGCGAACCATGTTTTCAGGCGGATCAATCCCATCAACCAATGACCAAAGTCGGAACATACGCCAGGGGATCAGAAGCTTCAGCCAGATGATATGGAGATTCATGAAGGACAGCATTGACAGTTGTGCTGCCGTGTACGAACTCCAATCAGGCTTTCCCTTGCTGATCGCACCAACCCAGTCAAAGTGCAGAATCACCTCCATTGACAGCAAGACCAAGAGGAAGCGGATACCGTATCGGATTGTTCGGCTCGTTTCGATGCTGGCAGCTCGGTACTTCGACTGTGAGATGTAGTCATTGAATGTGAGGATAGGTCCTGTCAAGTAGAGCGGCGCATAGATTGCATATGCCACATAGTTGCGGAAGGTAAAGTCTCGGGGCTCTGCAGAGATGCTGACACGATCTCTTTCGGAGAGATTTGCTGGGTCCAATTGCTTCTTCTATAAGCATCAGAGCATGATCAGAAATAATTCCCAACTCCTAAGCAATGTTATGACTTACCTCAAGTGCATTAGAGTTGCCACGATCAATACTCCAGTAGTAGTCTAAATTGAAGCTGATAAGACGTAGAATGGTGATATTGAAGAGAACCTCCCAGCGTGCCAGGATTCCTTGGAACGTGCTATCCATGCGGGCTCCCAAGTTCATCAAATCCGAGTTGAGGAGTCTCATCTTGTTCTTATACAGGCCCATTTGAGGGGGTGAAATGAAGCTAAACAGAACTCGGAACCGCCATCCTTCGGTCAATTCGTTGGCGAAGAGGATCGCAATGTTGAAGATCCAAGTAGCTGCCGGAACATATCGTCGAGGAAGCTTGGTCGCAAGCTGGAAATTGGTCCAGAGAATGAAGAAGATCTTGAACGCAGAAAGTCCGTGTAGAGCGAACAAGAATATGAATGCGAAAAGGAAATCGAATGATGCTCGCTGGTCTAATCGGTTGCGTCCTCCCTGGCTTCGCTCAGGCAATGACTTGTACTTGTTCCAGAGCTTCCTCAGCAGCGGGTGGAAAAGAAGGAGAGAGCCCATGTAAGGCATGTTCTCGCGGAAAACACCATATTGCGCATCGGAAACGTCGATCTGTCGTCCAGGAATCCAGCCCGGGGATAGCCATCGCTTAAATTTGGGGTATCGAGGATCAGTTTCTGGTCTTTGTTAGCTTGGAGTCGCACAAAACCAGTGGTAGAGAATACCTCGAGAGACATCGTAGGTGATCCAGAACATGTAAGGAATGGCCACAGCAAAGACAAGATAGTAAAGGTAGAACTCGGGCGTCTTCCATTTCGACGGTTGCGCTCTGCTCCGCTCCTTGGCTGCAGAGTCTTTCTTTACACTCGGATCTAATCGCGCTTCGATAACATTCTGGTAGGGGGTAGAAGAGGCAGTAGTGAATCGTGTGTCGAGAGTATCATGGTCGTAGAGACTGCTCAAGAAAGCTAGAGGACCCATGATGGCGATGGTCCTGGGTCAATGCGACGAACTGCTTAGCGCATGGCGGAATACGTAGAAGAAGAGCAATTGCAACAAAGCGACAGAATTGAATTGGCGCAAAAAAGCGAGCGTGAGAAGAGATAAACGCAAGTCGCACGAGTAGAGAAATTGATGCAGTCGTGGCCCTTCGTGGGGTGCGTAAGATCCAATGGAGCTAGTGGTGTTGAGAAAAAGGGACCTCTCCCACCGATCCGAGGCACGGTTCAAGGTGGGCTGCTCTCCACTCAGTGGCTGCAGGGGGTTAGAGCTCCAAGGGGAAGCCCCTGAAAGCCGAAATAGGGAGGCTGTCACTCGTCCGTTTGGCTCTTGGGCGGGGACTTGATCTAACATTAGAACTCGGTTTAATATGAAACTGAATCTAGAAGACGTTTGAAGATGAAATGATTAGTTTTATTACTGCGTTTATTTTTGTTCATGAGCATTATCGCGACAGTGTTTAGATGAGAATTATCCGAGATGAGGAGGAAGTTTAGGGTAAGTAGTTCGAAAAAAAGGCAACCATCGAAGGTGAATGTTGCATGCCACAATAACACGATGCAAGTTCATGAACATGTTTAACTACTTATAGACATGCTACCACAGAAGAAGTGATACCCTCTGTAGTGTAAGGAAATGATATTGTTTTTGGTCTTGATCTTGGTGTTCTGTGTGTTTTGTGTTTTCACTTCATGATCAAGCGTCCAGGTACTTTAGGATTTGCATTTTACACAGAAGAACCAACGAACAAACATCTTTGCATACACAATCTTTCTACTACGACTTCACCGGCGTATCACTAAACTAGGTGGACATTAAGTTTCAATTATGGTGTCTGGCTATTACGATAACTTCGCCTGGGAGCCCATCCGTCAGAGGACACAAGTATCTGAACTATTACCAACTTGAATTATGGAAGGCAACCATCCTGAAGATACGCCGTAAGAATGATAAGAAGATTGCCTTAGGACTTCCCAAATTGTAAGGAAGGTTCCTCCGAACCATCTGACTGTAGCTGACGTAGTTGCTGATGCCTATACAGAGCCTCTAGTTCAGGATGAAGGCAGATTCTAGGACTATGATATTGAATTACACGACACGATCAGTATGCCAGAGTAACACACAAACAGTCGCACTCGGAAATTTAGCACGATATGATGGGTCAGAATACTAGAGTGAAGCTTGAAAATGATTCTGGCAAACTTCCATGCCTATCATGTGGCAACTGGCAAACCACAACATATACTAATCATCAGCAAGGGGGCGAAGCAAGAGAGCATAAAGTTGAGGCTCTTATTGGGGTTACAAGTATATATTGATCTGGTTGCTTGACTAGCCTTTCGTTGTTAATGTTTAATAGTATTCAACTTATGTGAATGAAATCCATCTTGACCCAACTCATAACTCACAAGATACTAAAACATTATATTCTTATTTTCACTTCAGCAAACAGAAAACACTCGTCTCTGCATCTTGAAACCACTTGATGGTTTGAAGAATCTGAAGATCACCTTAGGTTTTTTAAGGAAGAGTTCTCGACGAGACCTAACGTCTTTTTCATCAACGTGTCTACTCATGGTAAGGCTGCCCGTTTCCTCATCTCTGTTCATCCCATTCTTGCCTGTACATCTTGAGAACATTCATTTCAACATTCCGGGACAAATCATCTCATGGTGTTGAGACCAATGGTTTCATTATCCCAACTAACCGTCTCGTCTCATCAGAGAACCACCCTCGCTGTACCATATCCAAAGCCAACTATCTCATCAATCTTCAACACCCCATCTAAAATGTGCAACTGGAACATCTATCTCTGGAAGTGCAACTGCTGGACCCTAGCCATCAAAGAGCCCTGCCACTTTCGCCGCCAGCAGAAAACAGCCAACTGCAACCAGATCCAACAGGTCAAGAAAGAATGGGTTCACGTTCAGGATAAACCATGCGTGAACCACCGAGCGAACGCGAGTCTCTATGTCGATGGACCGACTGCCAAGTGGGAAGATATAGAATCCACTGCTTATCAGAGTGCAAAGAGTCTTGCTGAGAGAGGAGAGTTTCCCGACTTTGTTGAATAAGGGAGTAGATTGACTAGTTGTCTGATGTATGGTCGGCTGATTATTGGGCCTTTGTGAAAGAAAGGTTGGCCATGTTTTTGCCATTATGATATGGGATTAGTATTAATGTTTATTATTGTCATTAATCCAAAGACTTTTCACCCGCTCCTGAATATTTTCTATGGCATAATTTCATCGCAGCATGGAAAAATTCATCCCCTCGGGGTCTGTTTCTCCAATTTCTTCCGTATCTCCTCATTGATGCTTTGCATAGCCTTCACCAACGGCATAACATCCCTATTCCCTCTACACAGTAAAGTCGATTGATGACTCAGTCGTTCAAGTGCTTTAATATCAGCCATATAGGAGCGAGGATCTTCAGCTCGCAGTATTGTATTAGCCAGATAAGCAAACGCCACGAAGCATCTGTATGCGCCGAATAATGCTGTCATTGTTACTCCGTAAGGGTATATCACCAATAACCGATTGAGAGCTGCGATAAGACGGCGAGCTGCGTCTTCCACGATGGGAGAGTCTGGGATGTCCAAATCTGTTGTTGGTGGTCTTGGAGAAGTTGAGTTGAGGAGAGCCATCTTGCGAAACATGTAGATGATGGAAGTATAGCCTGTCAAGATGACATCGGCTACGACCCAGATGTCTTGTTCGTTATCTTGAGCGCCTTCCAGCCATTCCATCTGTTATGAGTCAGTATAAGCGCTTGATGTGGCAGTACAGTGTCTTACTAGCTGCCACTCGGTGAAGATCTGTTGCATCTCGCGACAAAGGTCTTCCGTCTTGGCTACGATCTCAGGCTTGGTGGTGTTTTCTGGGTCATCAAGCATAGCAAAGAACCGGGCGATTACTAGACTGACTCTTGAACTGGCCAAGAATGCGATTGTCTGCATCCCTTGCGGTAAAGGGTCCGAATCAGGGTCCAGCCATGGTAGATTGACTTTCCATATGTCGTTGGTGATAACTGGGGGGGTATTGAGTATGAGTCGGTAGAAAAGATCAATCTGTATGACTTCCCAGAACCCTCGCCTCTCATTATCGCATTTGGCCTCGCTGAAAAACGTGTTGTTTTCATCCGAGTCTAGCCTGTGAAGGTTGAGGGTCTGGCAATATTCGCATGCTTGTTTAAACATCCTCCAAGCAAGGTCGTAATCGAAGAACTCAGCAGCCACGCGGCTCTAGATGACATGGTTAGATCAGATGATATAAGTGTTGGTAGAGACGTACTGTGAACAGAGCGGCGATGAGATCCGTCATGGTCCCTGATGCCTCTCGCTCCCAGCTAGGCACTGCACGCAGACATCCCAGGTAGCTCGAGTTCATGTACCCGAGACTTGAAGTCGAAGTAACGTTGCTCGCTTTTAGACTGCAGCCATGATACATTATGCTATAGTATATGACAAGAATGACCGGGTCGACATGGATGTGTGGTAGATTGATGATGTCAGGAATCAAGTCGATAATTCGCCTGTCCAATAAGCCTAGGAACATGCAAGCAGGCATGTGCTGAAAGTAGTCTAATAATGTCAGCCAACATCAAAGGTTGCATCGCAGAAGACTTACTGGCAACCCAAGTCTTGGCCAAGTCTGTGGGAATGTCTATCGAACTGGTAATGGCGGTAGAGCCAAACGACCTCTTCCTCAGCTCCTGAACTTGGTCGACTGCATCTTTCAGAACAGTCATGGCATCCATCTCACGGTCAGAATTATGAGGCGTTAAAACACTGGACTCATGACCATTAGTGCTAAAGGCCACCGGCGAGGAGGACACCTCAGAGCCATCGCCAGAGGGTGTTGGTATCGATTGGCCGTTGGTGGATGAAGACCCAGCTACAGTCTGTGCCTCAAGGCGTTGCAGGCGATCAAGGATAGTAGAAAGAGCAGCATTGGAGCCGTCCGCCGAGCTGAAAGAGTCAATGTCCAATTCTCAATGCCAGAAACAAGACTACTCACAGGGCTGGGTCGATCAATGGCCGCGCAGACCTCCTCTTGACCCGGACAGGATACACACATTCTAGATCATTTGGCTTGCAGCGACCACACTGTGGCATAACACGATTGCATCGGACTTTACGTTCCTTACATCTCTTGCACTGGAGTCATTATTAGATGCGGCTCGGAGTCATTTTCAGCTCGGCAGTTAAGAAAGGTAGCTTACAGAAAGACGATTGAGTTGTTCCGATCCGGTTACCCCGGAGGACGACATATCGAAGAGCCTCAAGATCAATTCACAGAAAAGTCCGAGATGAAGCTGGTATGATGAGTCCAAGATCAGACGATGGCGGAGATTCGGTCTTATCTACCCCCGCAGTCGGGTAAAGAACAATACGAAGAAAAGCAGTACGTAAAACCACACTATCGACAAGAACAATACAAAGCCACAGGGGTGCAGTAAACTCAAAATGGACTGTGCTTGCCCAGGTTCTGAGTGAAGGACAGGACACAAGTGAACGCCACTTACCACTTTGAGTATATTTACGAGAAAGCTTGGCATGTCAGAGTCCGAAAGTCCGTGCCAAGTCTGGGGTTCTCACCTGGAGCTTCGGACTTTCAAAGTCCGAATTGCTTCAATGATCCACAGACTGTGGGAATGCCCAGACGGGCCAACATGGCGCTCTATGGGGTTGTATAAGTTAATTTTCTTTGTCTTTGACTCATATTTCATCGAATAAATACTCAATTGTTTGCTGAAATGTTCTTCTTCTCAACATCTTCATGCTCTTCAAGCTTCAACAGTTCTTCAATCACCGGCTAAGCCATCTTTGGTCTTGAATCTTTCAATTTGAGCCTCACTACCATTCATATAAACTGTCAGCATCACCAGCTGGAAGTATATCTTCAAAGACAATTCATAATGGCAACCAGACCACAGCTCAGCTCTGGGGCCGGTACCCCCAAGCCATTCTACCACAACGACATCGGCTCAACATGCTCAACACACGTCTGCACAGAGAAGAACACTGAAGTTCCTATGAGCGAGGACGACGAGTATCAGCACAATGAGGAAGTCGTGCAACTGGCCCGAGAACTCACCAGGCGATCAAGTGCTGCACCAGGGACTCTCTTCCCCCAAGCAAGTGGTCCATTGAACCCCAGCAGTTCAACCTTCAATGCGAAAAAATGGGCAAAGGCATTCTATGACCTACGGACTGATACGTCTGAAGGAAACCCACCTAGAACAACTGGTGTGGCCTTTCGAAACTTGAACGTATTTGGCTTTGGATCAGATACAGACTTCCAGAAGAGTGTGGGCAACATCTTTCTAGAGGCTGGTACTATGGTCAAGAAGCTTCTGCATGATAAGCAAAGACGTGTAGATATCCTGCAGAACCTGGAGGGCGTCGTTCAGAGCGGAGAGATGTTGGCTGTGCTTGGTCCCCCAGGTTCGGGCTGTTCGACATTTCTCAAGACTATCGCCGGCGACACACACGGATTCCACATTGACGACACCTCTGAGATCAACTACTCCGGCATCCGGCCAGAAGAAATGCGCTCAGCGTTTCGCGGCGAGGCCATCTACACAGCTGAAGTTGACCATCACTTTGCGCATCTCACAGTAGGCGACACACTCTACTTCGCCGCGCGAGCTCGCTGTCCGAAGAATATCCCAGAAGGTATTTCACGACGAGAGTATGCAGAGCATCTGCGAGATGTCACGATGGCCATGTTTGGTATTTCACATACCAAGAATACTCGCGTGGGGGATGACTTTGTGAGGGGTGTCAGTGGAGGCGAGAGGAAACGAGTGACGATTGCAGAGGCAGCATTGAGCTATTCGCCGCTTCAATGCTGGGATAATAGCACGAGGGGTCTTGATAGTGCTAATGCGCTTGAGTTTTGTCGGACGTTAAGAACGCAAGCTGATGTTATGGGGTGTACTTCTGCTGTGGCCATTTATCAGGCGTCTCAGGATGCTTACGATGTGAGTCTCGAGTAAGCATTGTTATGGAGTTTCACTGACTGGTGTAGGTATTCGACAAAGTACTCGTGTTATACCAAGGAAGACAAATCTTCTTTGGCAAGACGAAAGAAGCAAAGTCCTACTTCGAAGGTCTAGGCTTTGTCTGTCCTGAGCAGCAAACCACGGCCGATTTCTTAACCTCCATGACCAGCCACCAGGAACGAATCATCCGCGAAGGATACGAAGGCAAGGCCCCCAGATCACCGGATGAGTTCGCACAAGCTTGGAAGGACAGTGCCCATAGGCAGCATCTTCTCACTGAGATGGACGAGTACATCGAGCAACATCCCTTCGGAGGCGAACACTACGAAAAGTTCGTCGACTCAAGGAACAGAGACCAGTCCAAGTCACAACGTATCAAATCACCGTTTACGTTATCGTACATGGAGCAGATGAGACTTACACTGGGTCGAAGCTGGGTGATGCTCAAAGCCGATCCCAGCGTAACGGTGACTCTTCTACTCTGCAATCTCGTCGAATCTCTTGTCATCGGAAGTATCTTCTACAACTTACCCGAAGACACGGGCGCATTTCTCAAGCGCGGACTACTCATCTTCTTCATTCTGTTGATGAACGCTTACAACAACATCTTGGAGATCATGACCCTCTACGCCAAACGAAACATCGTCGAGAAACACGCGCGCTATGCTCTGTATCACCCCAGTGCCGAGGCTCTTTCATCCATGGTCGTGGATCTACCGTACAAGATCTTCAACACCATCATGATGAATACCACAATGTACTGGATGGGAAACCTTCGTCAAGACGCCGGGCACTTTTTCTTCTTCCTCTTGGTGTCCTTCGTGACGACGTTGAGTTTCTCAATGCTCTTTCGTCTCATTGCCTCTCTTACCAAGACCATCGCTGTGGCCTTAGCTCGAGCTTCGATCATGTTACTTGTTATCGCTATCTATACCGGTTATGCAATCCCACCTCAGTACATGCCCGTTTGGCTTGGATGGATCCGGTGGATCAACCCGACATTCTACGGCCTCGAAAGTCTCTTCATTAACGAATTCGGCGGTAGGAACTATCCTTGTTCAAACTTTGTGCCCAGCGGACCTGACTACAGCGATATCTCACCACTTTCGCAAGCTTGCGCGATCCAAGGTTCTGTACCGGGAGAGGACTTTGTTCGAGGATCTGCATACCTTGCTTCGACGTACGGCTACGCTGACTCTCACAAGTGGCGTGACTTTGCTGTTGTCATCGCCTTCACGATTTTGTTCATGGGACTGCACCTGATTGCTACAGAGACAATTGCTTCTGAACGTTCCAAGGGCGAAGTTCTCGTGTTTACTCGCAAGGAGATGAAGAAGCACGCCAGAAAGGCCCTTGATGATGAGGAGACAGGCAAAGTCAGCGGAACGCAGCTCGGAAGTGGTAACGGCAACGACGAGGTCACAGACGTTGAGGAGCAGACTTCCGTTTTCCACTGGAGGAATGTCTGCTATGATGTCAAGATCAAGGGAGAATCTCGAAGAATTTTGGATCATGTGGACGGTTGGGTAAAGCCAGGTACTTTGACTGCTCTGATGGTAAGTGATGAACCGCATCAAAGTGAATCGGTACTAATCTGGTTATAGGGTGCGTCCGGCGCTGGCAAGACTACGCTACTAGACGTGCTCGCAAGCCGAGTCACAATGGGTGTTGTAACAGGCCAAATGCTCGTGGACGGAAAACTACGAGACGAATCCTTCCAACGCAAAACCGGTTACGTTCAGCAGCAAGACCTTCACGTCCACACCCAAACAGTTCGCGAGGCTCTCAACTTCAGCGCTCTTCTTCGTCAACCAGCCCGATACACACGAGAGGAGAAGCTAGATTATGTGGACACTGTAATCAGTCTTCTTGATATGCAGGAGTACTCTGATGCTATCATCGGCGTGCCTGGCGAAGGTCTCAACGTGGAGCAACGAAAACGGTTGACAATTGGTGTTGAGTTAGCTGCTCGGCCTCAATTGCTTTTGTTCTTGGATGAACCGACTTCTGGACTTGATAGTCAAACGTCTTGGTCTATCTGCAATTTGATGCAGAAGCTTACCAACAATGGTCAGGCTATTCTCTGCACTATCCACCAACCTTCAGCTATGTTGTTTCAGCGCTTCGATCGACTGCTGTTGTTGTCTCGTGGTAAGACAATCTACTTTGGTGATATTGGTAGGAACTCCAGGGTTTTGGTTGACTACTTTGTTCGTAATGGGGCGCCGAAGTGTCCAGTTGGTGTAAATCCAGCTGAGTACATGCTTGAGGTCATTGGAGCTGCCCCGGGAGCTCATACAGAGATCGATTGGCCTCAGGTTTGGAGTCAATCGCGTGAGCATGAGAACGTTCAACAGGAGCTTGGGCGGTTAGCAGCTGAAGGCAATGCCCATGTTGGGTCAGGAACGCATGATGGAACTGAGTACAACGAGTTTGCTGCTACGCCATACATGCAGTACACACAAGTCACCAAACGACTGTTTCAGCAGTACTGGAGAAGCCCTGGATACATCTACTCCAAGGTTATCTTGTCCGCAGGCGCAGTAAGTACTCCCCACGGTATGTACAAGACTGCCACTAATCAAGGAAACAGTCTCTCTTCATCGGTCTGTCGTTCTTGAACGGTCAAAATACTGAACGCGGTCTCCAGAACCAAATTTTCGGCGTACTGATCTTCCTCACGATCTTCACCCAAGTTGTCCAGCAGATGCTTCCGGACTACGTCGCCCAACGCACCATGTACGAAGCGCGCGAGCGGCCATCCAAGACCTACTCCTGGAAGGCATTCATGGTTTCTACGATTCTGGTAGAAGCAGTATGGAACTCGGTAAGACTCCACTGAGTACCTGATATGTGGGAGATTTGTAACTGACAGTAACGTAGCTCATGGCTGTGCTCTCTTTCGTTTGCTGGTATTTCCCGACGGGATTGTACCGCAATGGCTATGCAACTGATACGACGGATGCACGAAACGCGACCGTGTTTTTGTTTGTGTGGATGTTTTTCATGTTCACGAGCACATTTGCGCATATGATCATCGCTGGCTTCGAGACTGCTGAAGTGGCAGGCGGTCTTGTCACTCTGATCATGATCATGATGTTTTCCTTCTGCGGGTAAGTTGCTCTGAGCCGATTCCTTGTACATATCACTAATACTGTGTCAGTATCCTTGCATCACCAGAGGAACTCCCCGGCTTCTGGATCTTCATGTACCGCGCCTCACCCTTCACATACGTCGTGGAAGGCTTAATGGGCACATCAATG